TTATAAAAAACAAGGAATGCACCATAAAATATGTTTTTCTTGGAGTGATACGTCTTTTACATGCTGGGCATGAGATATAATACCAACTATTTTCACTCCTAATTGTATTCACTTTAGCCATGCAATAGAAGATCAAATCCTATATGATTTTAAAAATAAAATTAGGTTTGAATTTAAGATTTATCATATACTTCGTATTAAGTATAATAAACTGATGTATTAAAATACCTTTTCTACAGTTTTTTTGTACATGATTCATAAGCGTTAAAATATCAACTTTTTTAGAGTTGATTTCTTCCGGTCCAATGTTGATATGCTGAATTTCAAGTTTTCCAATGGTAGCATTATCTAACTTCTCACTGCATTATAAATTTATAATGATCATATATAAGAGATATATTTATGTAGAAAGAATAGTATAAAAATTAAAATTATTGAAATAACATACCTCCATAAAGATTTCAATTCATCAACCTCAGAAATTTGAAGATCAATATAAATTTTGGTTGATGCAGAAGTATTTAGATTAATTTTCCCTGTAAACAAAATGACAATGGAAAATTAGGTTATTCATTGTAAATATTAAAATAAAGTTATTATAATGACTAATATATGATACTTAGCATTAAAATATTTTACCATTGTTGAAGTTACAACTATACCAAAAGGCTTAGTAGATTCAGCAAGTAGGTCTTTTTGTCTTGAATAATCAGGAAATACTTTATCCCAAATCTTTAATTGAATTTGTTATCCCCTAACCATGATATCAAAATACAAATAATTTACTAATAAATCTAAAATAAATCAAATATAAATTATCTTACAATAATAAATCTTAGTTTAAAGTAATTGTTAATAATAATATATACAAATATATTAAAATAATAATTACCATTTGTCTTTTGTTTCAATTGAATCTCCAATTTCGTTTACAACCATAACAATCACATCTTGTAAGACAAAATGATATACCAAAAAAAATAAAAATTAGTAAAACGAATGATAACACTATAGATTTTTTTTTAAAATAAAAATTGAAAATACGTAAAATATATACCAGGGAGTGTTGCATTACTACGGAACTGATCTAAATGTTGCAATTGAACAAAATCAAATCTACGCAACGCAATTTTATTATTATCTGCAACGCCCTTGACAATTGTATTTTGAAAAAATTGTATCATTATCTTGTTATCGCTCACAACACGATATTCATTCTTGTTAGGTACAACAGAAAAATATTGAATTGTGTAAACTTTGCCTTACGATTAGTTTTGAACGAAATTGTTGGACAAATTTTCCTTTGATTGAAGCATGGACATAATCACCCTACATATGCAAAATAATATTGTATGTTAAAATAATATTGTAAGTTACACAATGAATTTTAAACAAATATTATATATTATTCAATGAATTTAGAACGATAAGTATCATCAAATAAAAAAAAATAAAAAAAAAAAAAAAATTAAAGGCATACCTCTTCGTCAATTAAAACCATGTCCAAATTAATCAAACTATTATGTTTCCGAAAGTTCAAAACATCAAAAAGCCTTGATATGCGTATTTTAATTTTTCAATCATTTTTGGAAGAATTAAGTTCTCGAATCGACGAAGTAGACCTAAGAAAACAATGCAATGAAAAAAATTGTTAAAAATAATATTACCAGTAACTTCAATTTGAAAAAAAATTGAGTTTAAGGAATTAGACCGACATTTTCTTAGACCACAATATAAAATCCTAAATAAACCACAATATAAAATCCTAAATAAACTCCTAAATAGTTTGTATGAAGTATTGTGTGATTTTTTGGTGGTGCGTGAATTAAATTAATGCCTATTTATAATAATAACAAATCATAGGCTAATTAAATCAATTCATATCTTTTTCCTAACTTAAATTTTATCATTATTCAAATTGTAATCATTAAAAATTCCTAACAGTCCAAATAATAATGATAAAGATAATTTTTTTTTAAAAGATTAATTTTGTTAGTTTTTTTTCTTAGAAACAATAATCATATGCGTTAGATAGCCAATATTAATTTTTAAGTTTTTTTTTCCTTAGAGATAATAATCATATGCATTAGGTAGCCGATATACATTCACAATTTCCGTGCATCGCTAATAATAATGATAAGGATTAATATTTTTTAAGAGGATTAATTTTTTAAGGTTTTTTTTTTTTTGGTGCAAATTTTTTAATGTTGGTACTGTTGTCGTCGTCGCCCACCTCTTAGCACCATTAAGCTACTTAATCACATTTGTTTAATTTAATTTTATATAATTAATTCTATCTTCTTCATTAACCAACCGATAATGATTGTTAATTATCCTAAATTAGCGTTTACGGAGAATGAATTAGTATTATGGTTAAATTAATACTGAAGTACTATTGATATCTTTTTTGAGCTTTATCTTTTTTTTTTTTTTTTGGTTTGTTATACTCGTAATAATGATTTAATAAATTTCTCTTTTCCTACTTTTTTTACCATTAATTTATAAAATTATTTTATTCTTGGTTTTTAATCTACGTGGCACTAAAATTTTAGATATATCAAATTAGACTAGGTTATCTTTGTGCGATGGACGATTAGAATTAATCTTTCTTATAATTTATGTTCTGTTGTATTACATTGTATATAAAAATTAGATATAGATATAAAAATAATTTAAGTTGATGAAAATAAATAAAAATTGAAATCACGATCAAACAAATTTGGAAAGAAAGAAGAATAACCGAAATTCTAAATTGGGAATTGGAAATTAAAAATCGAAGTTGTAATTGAAAATAAACCCTAAGAAGAATTGAAACCTTAGAAAAATCGAATGTAGAAATCAATTGTAAGGTGTTATAATTCAATTGAGAGAAGAAGATAAGAGAGGAAGTGAGATATTAATTTGTGTTGCGACCAAATGAAAGTTGAAAAGAGAAAGAGGCATCAAGAAGAGTATGAAGAGATCATTAATTAATATAATGGTCGAAATTATTTTAGAGTACCTTAGCTTAAAAAAAAAAAAAAAAAAAATCAAGATGATGTCACTAAAGCATATAGGTGGGGAAATAGGGGTGAGCATGGGTCGGGTACTCGAACCGTTAACACTATCGGTTCGAGTAACCAATAACCAATAACACTAAAAATGATATCCATGAACCGAACTGAACCGATAAGTTGGGATACCCGGATGATTATCGAACACCCGATATAATATCCAATAATGAAGATTTAGACTTTATAATTTAGTTACTATGGATATCATTAACACTAATTAACAACAATACCATATGATCTTGACCAAATTACTAATAATACTACTAATCATTTAAATTATAAAGTGACTATGGTGTAAAGTAAGAGTTTATATTTTGGATAAATAGAGTTAAGTAGGAAAAAAAAGAAAAAATCGTTTATTGGATCGGATCGGGTAACTTTTTCAGATCGGATACAGATCGGGTTTTTCGATAATTTTGCTTAACCCTAGGGAAATTTGTATGAAAAAGCGACATGTGTACAACTTTGGATAAAGATGATGTCAGCATGTTTTGTTAAAGTAATAGCCAATATATTTTATTTTCCTTATAGTTTAAAAGTTTTTATTAGATTTTTTTTTTTGCATTAATTTCACTCTATTTTTGGAAGGGTTGTGTCAATCGTGTTAAACTTCTCTATTACTTGCAATTTGTATTATTTTAATTTACTTTACATCATACTTGTACTCTGTAGTTATTTTAAAATAAAATAAAAATTGGAATAATAAAAAGGGAAATATATTACTCATAAACGAATCGATATCTTGGTGAGCTTGCTACACGTATATGACCCATTCGGCCATTCCATTTATATGTGCAAGTGTGTGATTAACGGCGCAATGTATAAGTACAAGTACAAGTGCATGTGTACAACCATGACTCTTTACATGCTTTAACTACAATGATTTGAACTAGTGATATTGAAATGCAAATGATCTTAAGTTCTTATCTAATTGTGACTTTGTGAATGAAAGTATGGTTATCAATTTCTTAACTAATTGGATTGCTAATGTAGGTTATTTAGCATCTGATAATATGGATATTAATGTTTGTAATAGCTCTAGTCTCTTCCTTATTATTTTTTCTGATACGTTAGGAATTTCCCTGGTAAGGAGGCTTCCTAATATTATTTTTCTTACCTTAAAAAAAATAAATAATAATAAATTTCTTATACACTCTGTATGGTCCCGGCTTTCTTTATTAATTACTGTAGCTCATAAAAGTTGTAAACTTGTAATGCTGTATGAGTAGAATCTTAAAAATAAGTAATATGTGACCTTTAAAGTTTGTTGTTAATGGGCCCATTTATTTCTACAATACAGTAGAACTACTTTCCTCTTCAAATACTTCGTATCAAAGTTTGAATACGAAGTATTTTTTGGACACATCAATATCATACGGATAGGCTTTATATATAAAATACTGTAAAACGTAAATTTGGGTTGCTTCTGGAATATAGACTAGTACAATTGTACAAATGAACAATTTGATTATTACATTTATTTCAAAAAAAAAAAAAGATTTTTACATGGATATGATATTGATAGGGTAACTAAGACTTATACAGTTATACGAAGTATGTTTTAAGTGGATTACATAAGTCATTTGGTAGAAAAATTATCTCATTATAATTTTTAAACATCTTTTTTAAAATTAAAAAAGATAAAAAAAATTTAGATCCTAATCATAAGATATGTACTTTTGTAGATGTTGCATTATTTTTAATTAATAAATACTCCTTCCGTTTTTAAATACTTGTTCCATTTCTTTTGTATCAATAATATCTTTATTTATCAATAAATATAAATTCTAACAATTGAAAATTAATAATTTATTCATTGAGACGATTCCAACAAGTAAGACTATATTTTTTCCTTATGTATAAATCACAAATATCAGTCAGAGTAAGACAAAAAAAATAGTGAAAAAAATAAAAATGAAATAAATATTTAAAAATGGAAAGAATAGTAGTTATTAAACACAACCAATCACATACTACATACAAAAATCATAATCTATTATTCACGATAATATTTGACAATTTTCCTTCTAAACAAAAAAAAAAAAAAATAGAATTTCAATTCCTTTCTCGAAGCCGACACCTAAATAGAACTTCCTCTGAATTAGAACTTTCAACAAAATCAAAATCTTCCAAAAATCCAAAAAAATACAGAGAAAAAGATAAATATAAACCAGTATTTATTTAATGTATAAAATTAATTAAATTAATTCCTCATTTATATAAATACTCACCCCTCTGTTTCTTAACACTCCCAACAACAACAAAAAAACCCAAAACTTTTCTCTCTCCTTTCAACTCATAACTTCCTTCACTCTCTGCCTCACCCAATTCACCCAAAAAAGTACATTCTTTTTTCTTCGTCCTTCTTTTTTTTAATATTATTTTCCAGAGATTTTCCGATCTCACAAAGATCTATCTAAATTGAATTGAAATTGAAAAATTATGTGGGGAATTACAGAAGAATATAAAGCTTTGTTTAATGAAGAAACAAGCTTTTATAACCGCATTGTATTGGGATTTGCTTTGCCGTCGATGATGTGGGATTTTCTTCCTCATTTTTTACAAACTTGGCTCAGAAACTACATTGGTGGTGTTTTTTTGTATTTGGGTTCTGGTTTTCTTTGGTGCTTTGTTATTTATTATTGGAAGCGCAACCTCTATATTCCTAAAGGTAACATCTTTATTTAATTCTTTTTTGCCCTTTAAAATTCGTTTTTTTTTTTTTTTTTTTAATAATTTTATTATAATTAGTGTGATTAGTTGTAAATTTGGTTGTTATATTTGTGTTAAATAATTCTAATTAGTTAGATAATTTTATGGAAGTGGGTTTTGTGTATGTGGGGTTGAGTTTTGAGTTTTTTTATGAAGAGGTTTATTGGGCAATAGGGGTCTATAATTATAGATTCGTCACTATCAATACGATTGGTAAAATTGACATTTTTGACATTCGAATTTGTACAGAGTTAAAGAGTGATGTCCAACATTATCAATGGTTTTGCGGTTGTGTGTGTGTTTTTTTTTGGGCTAACTTGTAATCTACTAAACTTGGACTAATTCGGTTTTAAGCCGAGTCAGGCCCCAATTGGGTGGCGCTGCTACATTCTCCAAACTCGAGACCTTTTGTTAGGTGAGAACAACTCCTTTATTAGCTGACCTAAGTGCTTGTTGGTATTCGCTAAATTAATTTGGTTGGTGGTGGGCCGTGGGGGTGGGGTGGGGTGGGGTGCAGAGGTGGTTAGTTATGTAATGGGAGGTGTTAATCTCATTTGGTGCCAGTGTTTTTCGTGTGTACTTTATCATTTTGGTTTTTTATGCTAAGGCTAAGCAAATATTATGGTTAATTTAAGGGTATTTTGGATTATTTGGTAAATTGGTAATGTAAAATTGATAATAATGATAAAAGATTAAAATCTTGTTTCATGTAGTCGACCCACATTTCTCATCTTACCGTGGTAACGTAGATTAATGTTCACCGATGTTCTGTCTCATTTACTCCGTAGGATTTTCCTCTTAAAGTACACAATAAGACGACATGTACAATTTGTGTGATAATTAAGTGAAAAGGAATACTAAAAGAGTACGGTCAATTTTACAAAGTACTTCGTATGTCATACTCATATATTATACTTTCTCCGTTATTTTAATATCGCATCACTTGCCCTTCATTTTAGGACAAAAATTATCTATGTTCACACTGTAAATACCCAATATACCTTTACTTTTTCACACTTACTTTTTATTTTATGTTTACATTACATGGACAATTTTGTATTTTTACGTTTCTCTCTCTTACTTTTTCCCACTACCGTACATGAAAACCTTAATCACACATATTTAAATAAATGTGAAAGAAATGAGTGTCAATTGATGAATAAATCCTTGAAAGTGACACTAATATCTATAATATTCTATTCTAATACAGTATGCTTCAATGTTCCAGAATGTGTTATAGCGTTGGCCGATTCGAGGGTATATATGTTTTGCTAATTACATCATTAATCTATGTGAATTATAGAAGATTCCTTTATATAACTATATAATATAAGAGGTTTTGCTTTTTGTTTACTGTCTGGAATCTTTGAGTCTTGTAGAAGTCAATAGGGGAAGACCGTTGTTCTTTTTTGTTTATTTACAAGCATAGTTTGCTTGCATTTTGATTAGATTACCGCTAGACCGGGCATAATATTCGAGTTTAATCTTACAAATATTGTTAATCTCAGGACGATCTAAAATAGAAATGTGACGTGCTCCTCCGTAGTCTGTACTACGGAGATATTAAGGACAAGGGTATGTGGGATGTGTCATGTGAGGTACAAGTCCCTAAGAGGTGGTCAAACCAGGAGATATATCTGAGTAAAAGAGGCTTTTGTTGGAAGCTTCTTGAGAAGAACAAACTACAATAGTTTTGGTCTTCTAGTGCGGCCTTTCTAATAGGATGTCTTTAAACTATCATATTTTTTGGTATACTTTGGCATCTTCATAATGTGTCTAAATGGTACCTTTATAAAGCTAGATGCCCTTTTATATAAAGTATTGTTTTAGGGATTAATTTTACTATTATATACAACTTGTATGTGAGATCTTTAGAAAGCCATATGCCTGGTAGTAAAGTTGGCCACTTAGCTTATATGATGATCACCAATTTTATTAAGAGTTCCATTAATATGTTGGGACTCGATTGTGTAGGTGAATGTCATTGTACAGCTTTTGAGCCTTTGTGATGAATTACTAATTTTTGTGCATAGATAATTTATATAATAAATATTGATTAATCAAAATCAATTTGTGATCTTATCTGTTTAGTCAAACTTTTTATCTTAGGAAAAATTGATTTTAATAATCCTAATTTTGACCGATTTTCTTTAAATAATCCCAACTTTTGATTATTTTTGAATAATCCCAACTTATATAATTTTTAGTTGATCCTTTTTTTAGACTATTATATGAAACAAAAATAAAAGTTCGGATTATTATTAGAAGATACATATGTAAGTTGGGATTATTCTTGAATAATCAAAAGTTGGGATTATTTAAAGAAAATCGGTTAAAGTTGGGATTATTAAAACTAATTTTTCCTTTTAATCTTATTATCAAACCAAAAGTCAAATTTGTACATAACTAAACTGGTATGGTTGATGTCTTTTTAAATGTAATCAATTAATATTGTTAATTTAAAACTTTATCAATGGGTAATTTTGTTTATTGACATTTTATTATATTTCGATTTCATATTATAGATTGCATTCCATCAAAGAGAGCTATGTTATTACAAATTTGGGTTGCAATGAAGGCCATGCCTTGGTATACCCTTCTTCCAACGATTTCTGAATATTTTATCGAACAAGGCTGGACAAGATGTTACCCGCGGATTAGTGACATCGGCTTGCCAGCCTATGCGGGATACTCACTGATTTATCTTTTAATCGTGGAATTTGGAATTTACTGGGTGCATAGAGAATTACATGACATAAAACCGCTTTACAAGCATCTTCATGCAACACATCACATATACAACAAGCAAAATACTCTTTCTCCTTTTGCTGGTGAGTTAATTTCAATCGCTGCAAACGTAGAAATTTAAAGATTATTTTTAAGTTATTCTTATGCTTCGTATTCATTTTTGATTTACAGGCCTTGCATTTCATCCCCTCGATGGCATTTTACAAGCCGTGCCTCATTTCTGTGCGCTATTTGTTGTTCCAGTTCATCTTACAACTCATATAGCCCTTATTTTTATTGAAGGTTTATGGACAGCAAATATTCATGATTGTATCCATGGAAAAGTATGGCCGGTTATGGGTGCTGGTTATCATACTATTCACCACACTACTTATCGACATAATTATGGACATTATACATTGTTGATGGATTGGATTTTCGGAACCCTTCGGGAACCTAAAATCGGCGAGGTTGATTATGAGCCAAAGAAGGTTTGCTAATGTGTAGTCATTAAGATTGTATTCATACATTTAATTTGTTTTAGTGGAAATCTTGGTTGGCTTCTTTTGTTCATCTTCTCAATTTGGCTTCTTTTGTTCATCTTCTCATTGTGTAAATTATTTTTGGGTGGTGATAAATGTTTTCATTTGAGGATTATAAATTTATTCTAGGAAGGGTTAAATATTAGGTTTAGATTATAGTTCTTTTTTTTTTTTTAAATATATATATATGTTGAAATTTTATTGATAACCTTGTGTGAAATAATTTGTTTTGTGCAAGGAATTTGATGGTCTATATTTGAAAGTTTGTATAGACTTGCTGTAATTTTTTTTTACTTTGACTTTCCTTCCCATCAATCTTTTATATTACTCTTACTACTTTGGATGTCGAAATAAAAAATCTACTACCTTTTCTTCGATTAGCACATGTGGACTCCAATCGTAACATTTCCCTTTACATATGAGTATTACTGTCAAAACGGTTTGACATTTCGATTTCGGTTCGGTTTGAATTCGGTTCAAATGTCTTACGGGTCGGTTTCAGTTCGGTTTAAATAATTATCAGTTCGTTTTAGTTTCGGTTTATTCTTGAACGGTTTAAATTCGGTTCGGGTTGTAAACGGTCCGGGTAGTAAACGGTTTGGTGCAGACGGGTTGCGGTTTGTTAACGGTTCGGTGTAAACGGTTTTTATCCCGGTTCAAATTCGGTTCGGGTTGTAAACGGTTCGCATAGTAAATGGTTCGGTGCAGACGGGTTGCGGTTTGTTAACGATTCGGTGTAAACGGTTTTTATCCCGGTTCAAACAGTTTCGGGTTAGAAACGGTTCGGTTCTTTTTTTGTTCAGTTTTATTTTAGTTCGGTTCATAACTGGTTCGGTTCGTTAACGGGTTTGGTTGTTCTACGATTTAACATTATTTGGATCGGTTTCCTTTTAGGTTAACTAAATTACGGTTCGGGTCTATTTTTGATTTCAAAAAATCGGTTTTTTATCGAGTCGTTTGGATTTGGGCAATTAAACAGTTTTGGTTTGAAATTTTATACTACTTTATAACCTTTTGCTGGTTAACAAGTTTTATATCAAGTCGAGACTTCATTACTTCATATTGAGGCATCATATTATATGCAAATTCTCATTAATTTTATAAATACATATCATGTTAAGTTTCAAGTTTAGTCATACCGATCTTACTAGTTTATTACGAAGTAGATTATAAAAGTTTAGTGCATTAATGTATTATTGTTTTACTATCAAATTATTATCTGCTTCTTATTTGATCATTTAGTTAATAGTGTCATAATCATGATTTGATGAGTTGTTGTAAGTGGTTTGTAAACGGTTCGATTTATAAGCGATTCGGTTCATAAACAGTTCGGTTTATAAATGGTTCGGTGCAAACGGTTTGCATTTTGTTAATGGTTCGGTGTAACGGTTTTTATGCCAGTTCAAACGGTTTCGGGTTAGAAACGGTTCGGTTCATTTTCGATTCGGTTTCCTTTCAGTTTGGTTTAGATTTGGTTCGGTTCTTAAACGGTTTAACGTTACTCGGATCGATTCGGTTTCGGGTTTACTAAAATGCGATTCGGGTCGGTTTTCGGTTTCAAAAAATCGATTTTTAATCGGTTCGGTTCTCATTCGGATCGGTTTGAATCAGTTCGGTTTGACCAATTCGGTTCGGTTTTTGACAGTACTACATATGAGCCATTATCTTACAAATTGAATAGATTACATGTTTCCTTTGGCTTCTCTTTGGACTTCCAATACTTGGTACAGTCACAATTTTGTTAGGCTACTTGCTCCAAACTGATTTTCAAATCCTTTTCATCTTGCATTCTTCAAATCATTAGGTTTCCCTTTCTGAGTGTTGTTAAGGGCTGATGGATCGAGATCATCTTGACCGTGTATTGTGTATGATACCACCATATTGTATTCTGAACATCTGTTCATCATTGTAAAAACGTATCTATGGAAAAGATTGGTAATGGTGGCATCAATAGCATCCATAAATAACTATAATAGCACCCACTGCACTGCCACAAACTAAGCATGCAATCAAGCTGGTTAAGTACTTAAGTGCAAACTCTCGAGTTCTTTAAGAATGATGACACTGTCACTCCCACATTCTACCATAAATCACTTTCAGTTTAAGTCATAATGAGTGTCATACTACCATCAATCTATGAGTATTTTTAATAGACTATGAATGATCATTGCCACTATTTATTAGTGGCCGTGTTATAATACTTGTATACTCGTATGTAATAATCATTTACTAGGTTCATATCACTATGTACTTGGCCAAAATACCAGCATAATGAGTTGCGATCATCATGAAGTTTTTGCATGCTTATTGAATGATTTTGATGCAGATCGTCCTGAGTCTTGTTTGAGCTAAAAATCTACCATTTGTTAATGCTAATGACAAAATAACTATAATAGGAAAAATGGATGATGTTGGGGAAAACTAAGCGATGATAATGCATCAATAGTGATTATTCTTGTTAGCCATGATATAATGTTCCATTAATTATGGATACTTTTTTCACAAGAGAGGTTTCACTCTGAACAATTGTAAACAATCGAAGCCAACAATATCGTGATAATGGACTAATGGTGTGTGTAAGTAATGTTTCGGGGTTTTCTGATGTCCTGCGGGAGAGTTACAATTCTGAGACTGGAACCGGACGCCTGTACCTGCAAAATGACGGAGACTCCTGTGAGCTCCGCCTCCAACGGTCAAGTTAGTACCTGATTAAGGAGTAATTAATGCGGAAATTAAAGTAATAAGGTCTCTCTAGGTGAGAGTGTTTAATGTAGGTAATCTGCTTTGTTAGCGAGATCAGCCGGTTATTAATGTGTGTAATTAATGTGTTTGTTCCGTAATGTTTTTCATAATCTTCTTCTCCCCCCCCCCTTAATGAGGATTAAGGGAGGTATTTATAACCTTGGGAATCGTGCCCATCCTAGGTTTAGGTAAACCTAGGGCCGATTGGGCTTCCCTCGGAAATTGGGCCTGGGTGGCCGGTTTCTCCATTAGGCATGGAGTATGCCACATGTCGTGACATAACAGGTCCAAGGTGGACGAATAAGCGCGTGCCACGTGGAAAGCCCTGACAGTTCCAACTAGGGGACACTTGGCAGGACCTGATTGGTCCACGTGGCGCATTCCGATTGGGAGGAGCAAAATCCCCTAATCATTTGCCCCTCACAGGTGGCACGTGACTGGTCACGTGTTACCTGTGACAGGTGTCGCACAGTAATCGGGCGACGGCCTGCTACAGGTGTCAGTCGGCGAAAGGACGAGAGATTTTCCCGCCCAAATTTTGAATTCTGGAAGTGACCCTTCGCCTTCTCACTTCGCCTATATAAGGGAGAGTTGCCTTGAGTCATTTTCACACTTTGAGAACTATTTGAGAACATTCGGACCCCTGAACTTGCTCTGACATTTTGGACTTTTTCTGCCTACCGCCTGTTCTGACAAGCCGACTGCACAGGATTTTCAGAACTTCATCAACCGTCACTCGTTCAGGTAACTCAGTTCTCTTACTCTTAATTTTCTTTTTATTTTCTGAAATGGCACCACGGAAGCACACGACACGACCTAGGTTAGTGATCAACCGGTCACCGGGGACGGCTGAATCTAGGACTAGGAGTGTCGCCTGCCCTTTTCCGGACCCATCTTTGCCCTTTATACAAAGTCCGATTGTATCTGTGTCTATGCAGAGCAGGATGGCCAGAACGAAAAAGACAGCTAGGATCTCAAATTCAGACGGCTCCTCTCACAGGGTGCCGATTAGTGAAACATCTGACCAGGCGCCAGATGTGGAAGTGAGACAAGGCGGCCTGGATGCCGGCAATTCTGTGGGGGGAGTCATAGTGACCCCTTCCAATTTAACAGTTAACAAATCTACTCCTTTTCAAAGAGAGGAGGCGGGCCCCTCCGGGAGAGGGGAGGAGTCGTCCTCTTCAGACTCGTCGGAGGACGAGTCCGAGTCAAGCTCTTCTGGCCAGGCTTCTTTGGGTACAGAAGAGAAAAACAGCCGCCTGCAAGAAGCGAGACTTTCTCACGTAGTTGAGAAGGGGGACAATTGGGCGGAACCATCCGCCTCTTACCGAGAGCTAAACACCCCCTACTACTGCACGGTACCTCGGGGCCGAATCACAGCCATGCAAGAGAAAGTGGAGAGCTTTATTTCAAACCACACCATGGGCCCCGACTTTCTAGTGTTTGTGCCGGATCCAGAAGACGCAGTCGTCTGGCCGGCTGGTTCCAGTTATGAAAGCTCCTGCTTTGGCTGCTACGAGGCGGCCATCAAGGCAGGGCTTCGCTTCCCATTACATCCGGCTGTTCAGCGGATTTTGGATGGGTATGAGTTGGGGTTATGGCAGTTAGCCCCAAACTCTTGGGTCAACGTACTCGGCTATGTGGCCGGGTGCGAACTGCACGGGGTGGAGCCGAGCTTCGAGGCTTTCGCCCATATGAACTATCTCAGCCGGACCCCTAAGACAGGCGGTACCGGCTGGTATCAATTGACAAGCCACAGGGGCTACCTCATGACGAGAGGTAAAGCAAACAAGTGGAAGGACTGGCGGAGCACCTTCCTCATCATTGAGAGTTCTGACATTGAGCAGAACAAGCGCTTCAATAGGTGGAACAGGAATCCGCCCCTTCTTGCAGGCGGCTGTAGCATGCCGCCTGTTCCCCCCAAGGCTAAGAAAGAGATCCTTGATAAAGGACTCTTTAAAGTAGAGTCGAGGGTCGACTCTACTTCAGGGGTACGAGAGCAAGTACCCCTGCACTGCGTCCCGAGCTTCAAGTGGCTCTATGACGAGTACTTTTTGGTCGCCTGCGGCCTCAGCAGTCGGTGCTCAAGAGGTAGTCGGCCTGTCGAATACTCTGTTGTTTCATACATTTGTTGTTTATCTTTTATTAACTTTGCTGTTTGTTTTTGCAGCTGACGCCATGAGCAAAATCACCGCCTCCAAGACTGCGGCGGCCATGTTGCGGGCCTCTATTATGCAACAAGCTTCAACCGACTCCCCAAGAAGGGGCACCCTTGGTGAGCTCCGAACCTTTCACCCTCTTTTTGGAGTGTTTATGCCTATACTGACTTTTTTTTTTTTTCTTTTTTAGACGGGTGCTCCAAGAGCTTCATCTTCCCAACAGCCGGACCCCAAGGCCCGGAAGACGACTGTTGGGAGCTCTCCTGGTTCTGCCAGGAAACAGGTGGCGGCTGAGAAACAGCCAGCCACTTCTTCTAAAGCTCTAACTGGGACGCCTAGAGGTATGAAGTTGTCCTTGTAAATTTTAGACTTGCTCCCTTTG